TGACGCCGACAACGATCTGACGACGACCACGATGATGACGCCGACGATTCTGCTGATTTGATGGAGAAGAGAGAGGATTGAGAATCTTGCTAATAGAGAGATAGAAGGAAGAGATAGACAGATAGATAGATAGATAGATAGATAGATAGATAGATAGATAGATAGACAGACAGATAGATAGATAGATAGATAGATAGATAGATAGATAGATAGATAGAGAGAGAGAGAGAGAGAGAGAGAACATAATTGGCGTATTTTATACCTAATAATAGGTTTAAATAAATACTTATTTTTTTCTATAAGTAATAATATTTTGAAATTATTTTGGTTTATAATAAATAGGTGTAATAGTTTGCTATAGGAGGTAAAATTTCCAAAAAGAAACAAGCAGTAGGAACCGATTTCTTTTCATTGCAAAACTGAGACAAATATTGTGTATCAGTGTATGGATAATGTCAGCAAAATATTGCTACTTTTTAGTTGTGCGCCCATCGACGAACTACAAGATTACAACTGCTTCATACTACGATTACTTAAGTGGGAATTCGAAGATGCAGTGTTTCTTTAAGCTTAGTCCGAATCTTTTCGAGGCCATATCTCGTTCCTTAATCCCCTGCATATGTAACAATGCGCTTTCTTGTTTGTTCTACAAATCATAACGCAGAATGGTGCTCAAACCATTATTCATTCTCCGAAAAGTGAAAAGAGAAACAAAAGCTAAATGCTCCTGTCACTTGTAAATGATTTGTTAATATTCATCATTTTCTCAGAATCGATGATGGAGGAGAAACCAATGTTCGAGAGAAAATAAGGGGAATATTCGAGAACCTCTGTTATTCAATGGACAAAACAGAAAATAAGAAATATCCAAAAAAAAACTCTATTACAAACCGGGTTCCCAACTATTTATACATGACCCAATAGACCCACTAACTAAAGATGGATGGACTGGACCTAATATACAACAGATAAATAAAGAATTGGGCTTGGGCCCATAAAGCAGCATCATCAACCTATCTCAACAGCCCCCCTCAAGTTGGAGGGTGATAGAACTCCCAACTTGCGAATGTGCAGATGATGAGAAGGTCCACATAAAGGCTTGGTGAAGACATCTGCGAGCTGAGAAGCACTGGAAGTGTGAGACAAACTAATCAAACCTTCAGCAAGCTTGGAGCGAACGAAGTGACAATCCAATTCAATATGTTTTGTCCGCTCATGGAACACAGGATTACGAGCGATATGAATGGCAGAGATGCTGTCACAATAAAGAGGAACAGGAGAAGTAGAACACACCCCAAAATCAGACAAGAGCCTACATACCCAAGTAATATCAGCCATAGCTTTACTCATAGAGCGATATTCGGCCTCAGCTGAAGAAAGAGACACCACTGCTTGTTTCTTAGACTTCCAACCAATAAGACTACCACCAAGAAAAATGCAAAAACCAGAAACAGATCTTCTGCTATCAGGGCAGGAGACCCAGTCACTATCACAGTAGGCTAGCAAAGAGAGATCAGGAGAGTTAGAGAGGAATAAGCCAAAATCAGAAGTCCCTTTGAGATATCGCAACAAGTGCAAAGCTGCCTTCATATGGGGATAGCAGGGCTGTTGCATAAACTGACTGAGATGTTGCACAGCAAAACTCAAGTCGGGTCTAGTGTGAGTGAGAAAATTGAGCTTACCAATCAGGCTTCTATAACTCTCAGGATTGGGAAGAGGATCCCCTTCTTTGGCCTTCAACTTCACATTTAGCTCAAGGGGACAAGTAACAGGAGAAGAATCAGAAGTGTTCAAATCAACTAAAAGGTCATGAATGAACTTCTTCTGATGCAAAAGAACCCCATAAGATATGTGAAGAACTTCAATACCAAGAAAGTAATTAAGAGAGCCAAGATCTTTGATTTTAAACTGAAGATGCAAGAACTCCTTAAGAGAAGCAATTTCAAGTTCATCAGTACCAGTTAAGATAATATCATCCACATAAACAACCATAATGACCATGGACTTTCCAGAACCTCTGGTAAACAAAGAGTAATCATTGAGAGAATGTGTGTATCCCCTGGAATGCAAGGCCTGAGACAGCTTGGCATACCACTGCCTTGAAGCCTGTCTAAGCCCATACAAGGATTTTCTAAGCCTGCAGACCAAAGGAGCAGATAGAGAAGAAGAAGAAGAAGAAGTAGAAGAAGAAGAAAAAGAAAAAGAAGAAGCCCCAACAGATAGACCAGGAGGAAGTTTCATATAAACTTCCTCATCAAGATCACCATGCAAAAATGCATTGTTAACATCAAGTTGAAACATAGGCCAACTCTGTTCAACAGCCACAGCAATAAGTGTTTTAACTGTAGACATTTTAACAACAGGAGAGAATGTTCCATGAAAATCCACACCCTCTACCTGAGTATCACCCCTGACCACCAACCTGGCCTTATACCTTTCTATATTCCCATCAGCTTTGTACTTGACCTTATAAACCCACTTACACCCAATGGGTTTTTTTGCCATGGGGCAGCTGAACAATCTCCCAAGTTTTATTAGCTTCCAAAGCCTCAAATTCTTGCCTCATAGCATCCTGCCACTCAGGGACAGTTGCAGCCTGGGAATATGAGTGAGGTTTAGGAATATGAAGTTGAGCAATAGAAGGAGCAGCAGCACTGGATGGAAGAATAAGAGATGAGGAATTGCAAAGAAAATCTTTAAGGTAAGTAGGGGGGTTATGAGGTCTGGAAGATTTTCTCAAAGGAAGATCAGAAGGAGGAGAGGGAGAAGTGGGAGAATGAGAGAAAGATGGAAGAGGAGATGAAGGAAGAGAAGCAGAAGAAGAAGGAGGAGAAAGAGCAGGAGAAGGATTGGGAGAAGGAGGAGAAGAAGTGGAAGTAGAAGGAGAGGATGAGGGAGAAGACACAGTAAAGGAATCAAAAGTGTCCGGAGACAAAGGAGAGTGAACATCAGGTAAACCAAGAGATGACCCAAGGAAAGGAAAAATGTGTTCCTTAAAGACAACATCTCTTGAGATGAACACTGTTTTAGTAGAAAGGTTATAGAGTTTGTAGCCTTTCTTGGCAAAGGGGTATCCTATAAAGACACATGGAATGGATCTAGGATGAAACTTGTTTTTGTGAGGTTTGGTGTCAGTAGAGTAGCATAGACATCCAAAGGCTCTGAGATGAGAATAGACAGGAACAGACCCAAACAACAGTTCATAAGGTGTTTTTCCAAGGAGTAAATTGGAAGGCAATCTATTAACTAAATAGGCGGCAGTGAGAATACAGTCTCCCCAGAAATGAATAGGAAGGTGGGATTGAAAAAGAAGAGCCTTAGCTGTCTCAAGTAAATGTCTATGCTTCCTTTCCACCACTCCATTTTGCTGTGGAGTGTGTGGACAGGAGGTTTGATGAATAATACCTTTACTGGAGAAATATGCAGACCCTACGATACTGGAACCCAATTCAAGGGCATTATCACTTCTGACTGTTTGGACTACAGAGTTAAACTGAGTTTCAACCATTGCTATGAAAGCTTTGAGAAGATCAAAAGCATTGCTTTTGGCACCCATCAAATGTGTCCAGGTAGCTCTAGTATAGTCATCAACAATGGTTAAAAAATACCTAGAACCAGTATAGGTAGGTGTAGAGTATGGTCCCCAGGTATCTATATGAATCAATTGGAAAGGCTTAGTAGTGTGGATTGTACTATCATGAAAAGGTAGTCTGGTTTGTCTTGCTAAAGGACATACAGGACATGTAAAAGACTGTTTAGAGGAAAAAATACAACCAATACTATTCATATGCTTCATCTTAGAAAAAGGAACATGTCCAAGTCTATAGTGCCAAGCAACATCAGCATTGTTGACTTTATTAGGTACATCAATGATACTTACAAAAGATGTATCATTAGTTGTAGAAGAAGAACAAGAAACAGAACTAAAAGTATTAAGAGAAGAGGAAAGTGAAGAAGGACACTGTTGCCCAGCAGAGATGGCTTGTTGAAAGAGTTTGTAAAGCCCATTGTCCAGCCTACCAAGCACCACTGGCTTCTTCAGTGAAGGGCCCTGTAGAGTGCAAGCAGCCTTGGTAAACTGTACAATATCAGCATCATGACATAGCAGCCTATGAACACTAATGAGATTATATTGGAAACTAGGAATATAAAGAACATTGTGAAGAGTAAGATCAGGGAATAAGACCACAGATCCAATATTAGTAACCTTGACTTTATAGCCATTGGGAAGAGAAACTAAGTAAGGAACAGGTAAAGTTTGTATATTGAAAAGCAGATTTTTATTGGAGGTCATATGATCAGATGCTCCTGAATCTATTATCCAAATTATCCCATCTACTCTACTCATCATACATGCTCCATAAGATACTCCCTTTTGGGTGGGTAACATACCAGCAAAGTTGGCAGACCCTATGAGGTTTGAATCAGGAGGGGAAGCAGTGATTTGGGCCTGCTGCTGAAGTAACATCATCAACTGGGAATATTGGTCCTTGGTAAGGCCAGGAACTGCAGAGGAAGACTGACTTCTGAGATGGGGACATATCAGCACCATATTCTACAGAAGGTACACCAGACAATGTGTTGGGATCAAGTTCAACATGAGCAGCTGATCTTTTGGGCCCCAAATTCTTTGTAGGTTTGAAGTTGGGTGGAAATCCATGCAATTTGTAGCACCTGTCAATGCTGTGACCAGGTTTTTTGCAATATTTGCACACCCCAGAAGACCTTGTAGAATCAAAAGAGACCTTGGAGGTGTAATTAGGTTTTGACAAACCAGGATTGTGATTTGGTGCATGATTCAACACACCAGCATTGAAAGAAGCAGAATTAGAGGGAAACTGAGTCCCAGTAGATACCTGCCTCTGCTTTTCATCAGACAAGAGAATACTATATACTGTTCCAACAGAAGGAAGAGGCTTCATCATTAAGATGTTACTCCTGGTTTGAACATAAGTGTCATTAAGACCCATAAGGAACTGATAAGCTCTTTGTTCTTCATCTTAAGCTGATTTGCCCCCACAAGTACAAACTTTTACCCTACCAGCAGAGATGGAAGAAATTTCATCCCACAACTGTTTGATCTTATTGAAGTAGGAGGCTATATCAAGAGATCCTTGAGATATATGGGCTAGTTCCTTCTTTAATTCAAAGACCCTAGCTCCATCAGCTTTACCATATTGTTCTTCTAGTTCATTCCATATATCTTTAGCAAACTCAGAATATTCTACACTCCTAGCAATATCCTTAGACAATGAATTTATCAGCCAAGATATTACAAGATCGTTGCACCTTTGCCATTGTCTAGCTAAGGGTAACCCATCAGGAGGTCTCCCAACAGCACTAGTTATGAAATCAGTTTTATTTCTAATAGACAAGGCGACTAAAACAGTATGTCTCCAAGTACCATAGCATGTACCATCAAAAGGAGTGGAAACCAAAGAAGTTCCCAGCACATCAGAAGGGTGAACATATAAAGGGTGACAGGGATGAGTATAATCGTCTTCATGAAAAATAGTACGCGAACTAGAAGGAGATGCAGTGGTTTGAGGGAGATCAGAACCACCATTCGTCATATTTGTATACCAAAAAGAAAGAAGTCTAAAAAATAGTAAGAACACCAACAACTATATCACCGGAATGGAAGATAATGAAGGAGATATACCAGCCTCTTTCGCAACCGGAAAGAGAACAGCCTTCAAGTAAGCAAAAAATCAAGGGAGAAAACCCTAGCTCAAATCGGAGAAAACCCTAGCTCAAATCCTTAGCTCGAACAAACGGTGAGGACTTGAAAAAATCTCGATCAAACCTTCAAACTCAACACAAAACATCATCTCGTGAAAAAAAACCATTGAATCCCGAAGAATTAACCGAAAATTATCACCGAAGCAACGAACACTGTTATAGGTCGAAAAATTCAATGAAAAGCGACGAGGGTAGAATCGCACGGAAGCATGAGACTAGAAGAACATGGATCTAAGCTCTGATACCATGTTAATATTCATCATTTTCTCAGAATCGATGATGGAGGAGAAACCAATGTTCTAGAGAAAATAAGGGGAATATTCGAGAACCTCTGTTATTCAATGGACAAAACAGAAAATGAGAAATATCCAAAAAAAAACTCTATTACAAACCGGGTTCCCAACTATTTATACATGACCCAATAGACCCACTAACTAAAGATGGATGGACTGGACCTAATATACAACAGATAAATAAAGAATTGGGCTTAGGCCCATAAAGCAGCATCATCAACCTATCTCAACATGATTAGCAAACGCTATACCCAAACAGAAAGTAATTAATTCAATCGTTACATACCGACACAATCGATATTCTTGATATTATGGCATACCCTTTCAATATGTGACCAGGGCGTATCTACATGTATGGATATGAGCTCACGTGAACCCATGTGATAGAAACTTAGAGTTCACCAAACTGTATAAAGAATCTGGTTCTCTATCAGTTCTCACAGAACACACACACAGCAGTAAGTAAATGACACAATAGAGTTTTACGTGGAAAACTCCCAGCTGACGGGATTAAAAATCACGACCTACACTTCTATGATTTCAACTTCACTAACTGACCAAACTTTAGATTACAACCTATTGTAATCTAGGAATTAACCACTTAATCTCTCACCTACTTGTAATAACTCTATTACAAAGCTCACACTTTGACTAACTCTAGCCAAAACACAAACACAAGGCATATGGTTTTAGAAACGATCTCCTACAGAATGCTTCTAAGTAAGCTGAGTAGGAATTAAAAGTAGATAACACTAACCAAGATACAACAATACTAATGACATATGATAAACTCAATGTTGGGATCTGGCCCTTTGTTCTGTTGCTACTTTGTTCTTCAAGCCTTGGAGTCACTTGAAAGTCGGCAGCACACTCGAGAGAAAGACTTGATGATTTTTGGGTTGTGCAAGTGTGTGTATTCTCTTGCCTCAAGTTGATAATATATAAGTGAGGTCATTGGGGTGATGTAAGCAATTATCCGTTACAAGGCATGCTCTATAAAGTGATTGTTGTACTGTTGCGTTGGCAGAGAAACAGTGCAGCGACTTTACAGCTGTAGAGAGTTCACTTGTATCGTTACCTGAGGAACTGATAGCGATATGTTCCCTCTGCATTTTGACTGAACATGTTGGAATTTGTGCCAGACATGTGACTTGTTGTTCTTGAACACTTTTGAGGATGTGTAAACAGGTTCCGTATCTGGTTCTCATATGAAGTTTGTTAGAACATCAACATACAAAGACGCACACATAACTAATTACCATGCTCCTCTCCCTAGACCATGTATAATATAATTATGCTATATTTCTCCAAATTACTTAAATATATATATATATATATATATATATATATATATATATATATATATATATATATATGTTCAAGCTCAAAGAGTCTTATGATGCAATAATCATTAGGTGCATCTTTAAGTGAAGTCGGCGTGTAAGTTGTTTTTTCTTTCTTTTTTCTAGAATTGGTCCACGCATGGGGATGAACATGTCTTGCGTCTACCCAACTTCAAACCACTTTATAGTATACATTTCATTAACTAAATGAAACACTACTTAATAGAAACTAACCAACAATTGCCTTCGTTTGAGTGTACGAAAAATGAGGTCATCAATATATTGTGACATTCAGTTCTGTGGCCACAACGAACTACCTAGTAACACCTGCATAATACCACATTTTCTTAAAAAACACAAAGATATGGTTTTCCTTTTATGTTTGTCCAAATCTTTTGGGGCCATTTCTGGTCCTTTAATTAACCAAAAAAGTACTAATCCCTTTCCCCTCCATCTGGATTAGTGATCTGTCTTGTTTTTCCTGCAAATCATAACACAGAGTGGTGCTCCAATTAATTTTCTAAATCTGAAAAAAGGAGAGACAAAATAAGAAGAATGTTTCTTTTTAATCACTTGAATATGATTGGAGAATGCTAATTCTAGTACGTTAAAATATTTCAATCCTTTTGTCCAAGCGTCACTTTAATCACCAATCAGGTAAGCCGACAAATCGAATTCGTGCACGTGGAAAAGAAGCACATGAAACGTTGTTTCCTTATTGAATTAGAGCTTATAGTAACATGGCAGGAAATAAGTATAGTGCGATGCATACTTCATACTTTTTGTTAAATGCTAAGAGTAGAATACAATATTATGATATTGCATTTAATTAATACTAAGAGCGGAATACAATATTATAGTGCTGCATTTAGTTTAATACAAAGAGTGGAATACAATATATTATGGTAACCACATTTAGTTAATTACCAAGAGTGGAATACAATATTATGGTGCGCATTTAAGAGTGGAATATATTATTATGGTAAGGTATTTAGTTAATACTAAGAGTGGAATACTATATTATGGTACTGCATTTAGTAAATACGAAGAATGGACGACAATATTTTGGTACTGCATGCATTTAAGAGTGGAATACAATATTATGGTACATCATTTAATTAATTACCAAGAGTGGAATACACTATTTATGGTAATGCATTAATTAGTTAAGCAATAGAATATTGATTTCCTACTTAATGGGGAGAATCAAAAGACTGATCTTTTTTTTTTACTATAAATACACATGAAAACTCATCTATATGCAGTACTTCATAGGCAAATACCAGAAACAGAAATTAAAACTAGTAAGAACTGGAAATTAAGGCAATGAAGCAGATTAGTGGAACACCATTTATGCTAATCGTGGTGATTATGGCGATTGGGGTCTTAATTTGGGCTCCAAAAATGTGGAGAGTGCATTTGGAATTGACATAAATCCGTGCACAGTTCCTGAATGTGTAGCTGCGTGCAAGAAAATTTTGAAGGAGAAATACCAGAGTGCGACATGTGCAACGGGGCCTAGAGGAAAATATTGTATCTGTTTGGGTTGATACTTTATTAGTATTTGAACTCCATATTACTATATAATTAAAGAGTGATATTCAGAATTAAGCTCCTTCTAGTCCGCTTCTCTTTATATTGCATTGCATTTCTGTGTACTGTACATTATATTTAAGCCACTCACTATACCGTAAATCTAATTCTGGGTGATAATCAAAGACCTCGTTAATGTAATTAAATGGCTATTTCAATAGACAACATTCTTGTTTATTTTTTTCCCTTCCGAAAGGTTTAGTAAGAAAAGCTTTTTTTGGGGTATAACAATCTTATATCCAGATCAATTGGCCTGACTAATTCAGATTCACGTCGTGTAGGTCCCTTTAAATGGTTAAGCGTTCTTTATCGGGTATTTCTTCATTCCGAGGGCTCAAACCGAGACCTATAGTTAAGGATGAAGGGATATCATCCATCCCATGCCCTTTGGTGGTAGTAAGAAATGCTTCTTCATTAGTAAGAATTACATTGAAGAATATGATTTTGGAAAAGAAACAGAAAGAAAAAAAGAATCAGATGAGAAAGAAGTTTGAGTTTGGCCCAAAGTTAAGCTTCATGTATATATTTTACAGAAGAAGAGGTGCTTATATATATTCCCTGTTAGATGCGTATAATTCTTTTGGTCTATTTATTTAAAGGTTCATGAAATTAAGCATGACCAATCATCAAGAAGGAGTCGCGTTTCGGTCAGTTTCATGGCAATTTATTTAATTTGTTTATCAATCAACTGCATCTAATGAGCTGCCAACTTCTAATTGTACAAATGCAAATGCCACCTGTTGGATTGTATATTCGAAGTAATTACAGTATCATATTCACGTGTGAATTAAACAATTGGCATATACGGAGATTATTCGAGTTACCTCTTGAAGCGTAAACAAAGCAAATCAATATCCGTCTTCAGTTCCAGAGTTGCAAGACCTCACCAAACTTCCACAGTCTTCTACCGTGTTACCCAAATAATATTCGGAAAGAGAGGATTTCGGGTGGGCAAAAGAAAAACGTGTATTTTTTCAGTGTAAAAAACGGCCAGCCATATCCCATGTATATATAACTACGTTTTTTTAGGTTAAAACTTTTTTCCAAAACCTGTTAGTTTTTCTTCTTCCACTAAGGAAAGGTTTCTTTTATTTCCTATTATTAGGTACAGTAGGGACCACAGAATTTAATTAACAAGGCTTCCTATTATGGAATTAATTTCAAAAATTAAAATTAATTTCTTCCATAATAAATTACGAATTATTCCACTAAAAATTCGTAATTGAACTCCTTAGTTCAATTTTGAAATTCTTCCATAAAACCTTATTTAACTCCCCATGTTAAGATTCAGATACTAACCAATTAAATTAAATTACTGACAATTTAATTTATTGATTACTTCCTTTAGACTTTCACTTAACTTATTTCATGTGTCGGATACAAAATTCACCGATCGGATTTACACATGAAAACTTATAAGCTTTCATAAAAGAGTATCATCAATCTAAAAAACCGAGATATGGATTCTATCAACTAATTATTACTTCGCCAATGTATACCATTATTGTCCAATTTACCAGGCTTATTGACCCACGAAAGAATCTCGTCTTTTAATCAATCAAAACAATAAATGATATACACAACTAATAATAATTATATCAA